GAAAGCTGCTAATTGCTGCATATTTATACTTTGCCGTACAGTTTATACTTTGTCGTACGGTTTATACTTTGCCGCACATCAGGATTCCAACGAAACAACACAAAACAGCGTGGTTCTATTATGCACGTAATCCATGTACGCTTGGAAATAGGTTGGCAACACTTAAAGATAATAATACTATGAGCAGCTGATTGACTATTATAACTACGATTTTACCTGTAATTTCGTGTTTATAGTTTCGGTATTTCTGAACTTTCTGGACTTTTCTTTTAAACGTTTTTAAAACATTCCTACGATCTTAATAAACAAGAAAATACCTTTAACCCTCCAAGTGTCCATAGTTTAGGCCTTAATGTCCACCTATTTTTGGCGCATTTGCAAGGTTTTATTAAAAAGGATCTGAGAAGCTTAAAACAATGTTAATTCTAATGTTCTATATACCATTTTTTTCGGAAAATCATTGGCTTCAATATTATATATAAAATATAAGGAACATTTTTTCAAAAAAAAAAAATTTTAGGTAAAAAAAATATAATTTCGAAAATTTTCAAAAAAAAAAAATAAGTTTGCGCTCAATGAAATTGTATAAATTATAGGCCTATAAATATTTGAAAATAGCCACTTTGTTCTAAATTTTATGAGGATTACAAATATATAATAATATAAGGAAGTAGATTTGCAAATAAATAAGTTATGGGCAAAAAACTGATTTCAGTACATAGCGTTTAGCTAAGAATGCATAGCCTAACCATAGCTAGGAATCTGGCTGATAATTTACATCAATATCACTACCTACTTCTTCAGGATCATCAACCAGCACTTCAAAACCACTTAAATCTTCTTATAATGCACCACGTATATCACTACTTTTGATTTTTAACACTAAAACAATGATAAACGTAATAAAACACATCAGTCATCGGTCCGGGGGAACCTAGCTGTTTACAAATACACGCACGTCAGCTGTCTGCTACAATATTTTCGGAACTAAAATGAATAGCGCTTAGAGACAGACCTCTGGAGAAAGCTTAGAATATTACGGAAAGAACGATACCTAACTCGATCCAGTTCAATCCGATTCAGTCAGTCATAGAGCCTTCGCCGTAAACGATGTCTGCGTGTCGAAAAATCGACAAGTAACACTACACAAAGTGTGCTGCTTGTCGAATTTTCGTCAAGTAACACTGGGAGGGTTAAAGCCTTTTTTTTAGGCGCGGAAACCACTTCAAATTACAAAAACATACGGAACTATATTCTCAAAACGTGGAGCACATTTCTTGTCGAGGAAAAATAGCGGAGTGATACGGACCGCGGGTACTACTTTCTCTAGGGCACCATTTGTGTTGCCAGCTAAACCTAAAACATGTTGTATAGTGTTTGAAAGACTAATTATTTATATGCTTTATAGTGACTGTAGGAAAAATATAATGTGTAACACGAGTGAAAAAGGCCTTTGCTGCACTCGAGATCATTCCGCACGAGCCGCTCTCGTGTGCAGCAAAGTGCCACTTTCACCACTAGTTACACAAATAACTAATTCAGGTTTAAATTTTTTGCAACACCTGCCGGCTTATATAAAGACGGAAGAAAATTTGAATAAATTTAAAAGAACACTTTTTAATTAAATTTCCATTTTATTCCATAGAAGAATTTTTAAAAAATAAAAATTAGTAGCTCACATAATTTGAACTCCATAGCAAAATTAGGGGAACAATTTAAATTTTCACAATGATTAGTAATACCAAAGATTACATATGCTAACGCAAAATAGATATTGCAGCCAAGCCATTTTTGTGATATCAATTTCCATGCGAAGCCTAGCGAATGTCTTCACAACCTAAAACTTCACTACCGACATGACCAGCTGTCATGTACGTATTTTTTGTTATTGTTTATTGTTATGGTTAACCTTTATTTGTGGTTGTTTGCTTATGTAAGTAACAGGAGGTTTATTAGAAGATGGATTAGAAAGAGTGAAGAAGTGTTAGTATATGTGTGGTGAATAACTATTGTATTATGATGTGGATATTTTCATGAACAATACCAGGAATTAAGACGAGTGTAGGCTATGTGATAAATGGCAAACACGGCAATAAAAAAAACGGAAATGCCTTCCCGGCACTGCTTTACATTCACGTTTAGTGTGTGAACTGCCTTTTGAACCTAACTGCTTTATAAATAATCTGAGAAGTAAAAAGGAAGCTGTACGAACATGACTAGTTATATACTTTTAACAAACTACGGATGTATACATAGTTGTCACTCAGCAGTCTGCACTCATTACTGCCTCTACAGACGATCACCATCATCGTCTAGCGGCAGCCCCTTCATCACATAGCGATACATTCACTAGTATTTCTACTGTCAATGTCTCATTATCTTAAGAGTCTGCCTAAAAACAATTATGATGGAGTTCCGAAATATATTATTAACTACCTTCATCATACTATTATGCAATAATTGGTAATTTATTGTCAATTGAAAATAGACGTACGTTGAACGTTGTGGTTTATCAACGAAGACCACTAAGAGGGAAATAAAGTATCCTAGGCTATGTATTTATGGGGTTCAATTTTGGAGAGGGGTGGTTTGCCAATTTCTGCTCCAGGGCACTCCAATCCAAACCAGGCTACGCCAATACAATGTCTTAATGTTGATTCAGGAACTTACCATGAATAGCTATACTGGGAAGGCGAACGAAATGCCTGTTGTAAAAAATGTAGTTACAGGTTTCCGGTACAAAGTATTCGACCTATTGTTTAATATAATGTATAAAACCGGCCATACCAGTAAATTGGGATGTCGGGTCACTCGGGTTAGTTCACTTTCGTGTGATTGCGAGTGTGTGACTGACCTCCAATTTCCAACCTAAATATCGTTTTTACGTGGTAGATAACCTCTTTAATTTATGTACACTAAAGAAAGGTTCCACTGTTGTTAAAACTACGTGTTCTTAAATTTATTTTATATAGTCGTCAGTTGAAAGATTTGTTATATAAAACAATCCAAATCTATATTTTATATCTTATGATCTACATTTTCTTCAAAGCGCAGTTGCAAACGGCACTTACAAAACACCAATAATGTGACGAGATAATACGTAGTTTGAAAACAAATGCAGATCTGTGTAGATAAATGTTCTTCCTACAAACTATGTCTATATTGCTATGTTTAAAAAGGTCAAGTAGCCAGTGAATGGCTCTGTAGTAGTAGACTAACCATACATTCTTCATCGTGAGTTATAGTAGCAAGATATTGTGTGTGAGTCCAGAAATCCGGAAGCAAACTTTGTGGATAAAAATTCCGAAAACAGAAAAGTCGACGAACTCACAAATAGTCACAAATTATTAAAACTTGTAAGATTTATAAATTTTTAAATTGTTAAGGGTTCTCTAAATGTAAAAAAGGTTCTCTATGTTAAAATTCAATGCAGACAAACTAGTATAACATTGTAAGCTTATTATATCACTGTGACTGCAATTTTCTAAGATTTTTATTAATTCGTGTTTATATCAGTAAACCTTTAGTATCCTTTAGCTCTTTGTTACATGGACATTTTAATTTTAAATTAAATAACTGCCATTTTTGTAAAGATATAATGTTATGGTACATTAATGACAGCTGTGCGCTTTCAAACTAGAAATACGATGACGACGGGTCGGCGAGCGCGTTGCGTACAGGCAAATTAATCCCGAGCACACGAACATTACCTAACCCACCCGAACTTGAATGGTAATGCAGATCGAGACTTGACACAGCGCCTCTGTTGAGGGACCACCCAACTACGTGAAGGTGGCCCCATCCAAAAACGACTTGGCACAAAATTGCCGTAAGGTGCAATATCTATTTTGCGTTAGCATATGTAATCTTTGGTAATACTTTTTCTTTTCTTTGTATATTTTTACCTAAGCCCGGTATTGTGATTGCAATAGTGTTATACTTTTAATATATTCAATTGGAAATTCTTCACTTATCTTAATAGTATATTTTAAGCACTTTGTAATATGTAGATATATGTATTTATAGCCTATTTGACTCTATTCAATACATGTTATTTTATGTATAATGAATAAAGAATGATTTGATTTTATTTGATTTGATTTAATTTGTCCGATAGGCCTAGGCTTACACCGGGGCCGCCCGTTTCGCCTTCACTTTCACTGTCATTTTTGCACAAAGTCTGTCAACCTCACTCGAGAATATGCGATCAAATTAGTTTGTATTCCCCCCATTTATAAAACATAATAATAAATCCGTTACCAAGTTATTATGACTTATTACCACAGTAAGTATGAATACAAACAAACACAAACGTCTGAAGTCTGAACATTAAGAACTTAAACAACCACATGACATCTGTTGCACCATATTGCCAGCCGTATAAATAAAAATAATATCCCTTGTCAATGTCTAATATTACAGGGAGGGTAAGAAAACGATTCTATTGTAAAACTTTAGACTTGTAACAAATAAAACACATCAGCTGTTACATAATACCTTCCATACAAATACTGTAACACAACTTTCAATGACATAATATTGAACACTTTTTGTTGCTTGTTTTTTTCTTATTACTATTAGTTTATTCTTAAATAATCATATGTTGTTTAAAGTAAAACTCTTTAAAAACATTTCAATACATAAAACTTAGCAGGCCTAACTACGCAACAATTAACTATTTAAAAAATCAATAATAATGCTATGTCAGTTCTGTGAAAAGCTTTTTGGGCATATTCAGCCGATCACGGAACCATTCCATGATAAGTCTCCAATGGGTTAACTAACATTCATGGTACTGTTGTTCTTTTACCTAAAGTAGATTTAGAGACACACATTATTCTCATAAGAGTTCTTCCCCCGATGTGAAGCATGGGCAGAACAACGAGTCCTGTATTTCCTTCTAACATTTGTAATTTAATCGAGAAAAATCAATAAAAAATGCTTCCCAATACCCAGGATATGCAAATAGTGATTACAAAAAGAAACCTGTCCAATTTTACCTCAGCTTCATATCCTTCCCTCAGGTTATACGTAAGATCATGCTGAATGTCATTAGCAAACTCTTGTTGATACTCCGGATACAACCGCAACACCTTCAACAAAGAAACATTGTACCTTTAGTTCATCTAAATGGATTTCTGTGTAAGAAGAGCACTATTATTCATATATCCATGGTCCCCATAAGCAAAACCATTGCAAATTCAAATCGTCAAATTTCTGAAGGTTTAATAACAATGCAAAAGCTTCTCTTGATTTATACAACATTTGTATAAAAAAATGTAGATTTACATCTATATCTATCCATCTATATAAAAGAGAAAGTATGTACCCTATGGACTCCGAAACCACTTGACAGATTTTAAAGAAACTTTCAGGCATTATTAAGCATTATCACAGAAAACATACTACTGTAACACAGAATGCTAACCGCATGTATAAATAATTGATGCTATCTAACAAAAAAGGTCGACGTTAGGAGGTATCAAGACCAGGGTTTGGACCGTTCCCTTTCAAAACGTAAAAAATGATACTGGTGTAAAAAAAAAATTAAAATTAAATCTAAAATATCCTGTATAACTTTACATTGGCTTCACTACCCACCTCGACCAGCCCCTGAATGTTGATGCACTTGAGGTCACAGTATGTAAGAGCCTTGACATCAGAGCTAGACTTGACTACCACATCTGAAGCTCCCTGGTTGCTGGACTTGGGGGCTCCGTTCTCCCCTGGCTGTAGATACATGCTGATGTCACAGCCCACTAGGTCCCCCTTGCCTGAAATAAACAAAACCATCACTCTATACACGTTTTAAAGCCTTGCCGTACAAACGAAACTCTCTAATGGTTGTGTGATATTCATTTTTAATCTTTATGAAGAGTTTATATTACAGTATTTGATGGATTGTTGCGGACATTTTCTATTACGATTAGTAACAAATACGTTTTTACAATGTTTTGTATCTGGAATGATATGATAGGTTGCGTACCTTTTTTATTCCGTCGTCAGTCCTAAAATAGTCAAATAGTCAAATATTAACAAACATAAAAACAATAATGTTAAACAAAATGAAAAATCTCGCAACTTCGTCTCTGTTGAATTTGGTGCCAGTCTACATTACACTTTAAAGAACGAACTGAAAAAACATAACATCACTCTGGCCAGTAAAACATCAAGCAAATTAGAACGTCATTTGAACCAGTCTAGCCACAAAGATAATACTGACAATCTAGACGTTACTGGTGTTTACAAGTTGACTTGTAACGACTGCCCTAAATTGTACATAGGCCAATCAGGACGCTCATTCAAAACCAGGTTCAAGGAACACCTCCCTAAACCAAAATTGACACAACAGCGTTCCAAATTCGCAGAACATTTGCTAAATGCCAACCATAATATCAATAGTTGCCAAAATAATCTACACATTTTACACAAGTGCAGTAAAGGTGCCCTCATGAACGTTTTAGAGAACTACGAAATTTATAAAGCCACAAAAAAATCCCCCCAGAACGTTCTGAACGAAAAACTAAATTCCGACTCTAACATACTATTCGATAGGATAGAAATTGTCAACAATGTATCTAATGCTAACCATTATCAGCTGACGCACCCCCACCCCAAAGGTCAATGTCACCGCTTCGACAACGGCTAGTTCCGTCGTGTCCGCCGTGCTACCTGCGTCAGTGTGTCTCTTATAAATGTAGCCGGCTACTTTCATTAAATGTGCTTTGTGTCGTAAATGTGTGAACTTTATGTGTCGACATGTGTTTGTACCTCATAACGAAGACTTCTGTCGGATTTTGACCAATCAATTTGATGAAAAATAGGTTTGAAAATGGGTCATTTCTGACCCGAAACTAGTCACCCTTTGACTATTTTAGGACTGACGACGGAATAAAAAAGGTACGTAACCTATCATATCATTCTACATCAGTCCTGGTGGCAATAATGTTTAAATTGTATCTGGAGTCCTATCACCTCCTCGTGTCTGGACAGACACATGATCCTAGTAGTGCTTGAGCCACCATCATGTGCAGACGTGACTACAAACGCCTAACTGTTAGTGTTAAGTACTGATTGTTGTTTTCTTTCAGGATATTTGGTATCTTACAATTTCTTTTAATAATTACACTGTACAGTTCTCTGTGTGGTTTTTCTTTTGTAATTTCCCAGCTTTGTCTAGTTTGTGTTCTAATCTAGTTATTGTAGGACTTAGGTACTTTCTAATTGGAGGACAGGATCAGATTTCAGACCGGTAAGGAGGATAACTCATGACTGTAGGTGCACGATGGATACCCAACCTGCAGTGAAGCCAGGTGAGGTCTGAGCCTCAACTGCTACCAGACCGCAGACTATAGTGGTAGATGGAGTTACCCAGAGTATCAAAATGGCCCAGGGATCTGAGTGACGTGCCAAGTACTCAGTAAAACAGTGGCAACCAGTGGGAGATACTATAGGAGATCTAGCCTGCAGCAATGAACAGGTGAGGCCAGATGAACCCAAGTCTAATGAGTCAAGACAAGAGGCAGAGTGGATCTCAGCCTGCGAAGGTAACGAAAGGTGGGTGACCATGAACCTTAGGCTACAGTAGCAGATGGAGTGAACCCATACTTGGTGTTTAAGAACCAAGCGCCTGACTGAATATTGTGTCTTTAACCCAGAGACTAGTACAAGGGTGACAAGTGTTTACCATGAGTATTGACCGGACCCCTAGGGACACCTGTAAGTTAAACCACATGCTAAGTATCAACGGTTCAGTATTCCTCTACCATGATACAAAGAACACCAATCACTTTACGTTTACACTATACCCAAGAGTGTTAGAATAGTTCACTGTCATGACAGCATTTTCAACCAAGGAAGGTGGGATCAGAGAATTCCAATCCTATTGGTTGTACTTATTGTATGTAACCCAAACATGAGTGAAGGAGTGTAAAATGAGAAGTTATGCAATACTGACTTAGACCAAGGCAACACTTAATAAACAGATCATTGGTATTTTTTATTGATTCTGTATAAAACAGCTGGTCTAAGCAAGGCAACACTAAATAAACAGGCGGTAATGCTCCTCTGGCATGACATCATTGTAGGCGACGGCAATGAAACAATTTTTGCCTTGTGATCAGCTGCTTGTTTTAACCTTTTCTTGGAAAACAAAAATATAACTAAAAAAATAACATTGCGTCATTGACGTTGCCTATGATGACGTCAAGCCTGAGGAGCATTACCGCCTGTTTATTTAGTGTTGCCTTGCTTAGACCAGCTGTTTTATACAGAATCAATAAAAAATACCAATGATCAAGAATATGGTCTATTTTCAAACCATCAAAAAGTTACTGATTTTTCTCAGGATCAAACTGGCAACCCAACAATTCTGTCAGTTCAACAACAACTCTGGCGTCAGTTTTTTCTCATATGTTTTTATTACGGGGTAGTTTCAGACAAAAGTTTATCAATATTCATTACTATTTTAGTATTTTTATTAAATTATCAACTTTTAATTTTTAAGAACACAAAAATAAATCAAATAAATGTGTTTTTAAGTACAATTTCCTGGAAAAAGTCAAAATTGTTTTATTGGTTCAAAACTGGACTGTCCTTGATCATCGGACTATAAAAGGCTTTGGCTTAATAAACAGCTAAACTTAGCCAGAAAGAAATCTACTCGTATCATCTAATTTTTCTTAAAATATGCACCCTCTGAGATATTGGAATCATAAAAATATCCCTCTACATTCCTCCCAATCTCTCAATATACACCTTATTTAGACAACAGTAATAATGATTTCTCTCCCTATACTATTATACAGTCATACCTAAGATGGCAACAACCATTTCGTTCTGCACCACCTCCATGGAGCCGTTGCAGAGATAGTAGATGGAGCTGAGAGCATCCCCCTTGTGTATCAGATACTCCCCCGGTGCGCAGAAGTTGGTGCGTATGTGCAGAGACAGCAGTTTGAGGCAGCCTTGTGACGCAGCCTCAAATATTGGCAGCTGCAGGATCTCACGATGTAGGTGCATCGAAACATCACCTCTCAGTTCCTCTGGAAACTCCTTCAGTGTCTGTGGTGAAAATGTTAAACATCTGTTAATTTATTGTGATACCGTACAGTAATTACTGTATAGTAACAATTGTTTGCCACAACTCAAAAGTAAAATTACTAACCCCATGCTGAGATTATTAACCACATTAAACAACTTTTATTTGGTCTTAAAGTACATAAAGAACCTCTAAATAATGCATAATATTAGTAAGTGTAGAGTTGTTACTAGTTATTTCCACAATAGTGTACGGTAGTTAATCATTATATTAAACTACATTCTTCTTGTTGTCTGTGTTCTTGAGGTAGAAGTTTATGTGTATTTTGGTTGCTACAAAGACTTCTTGGTCAAGAACACAGGCAACAAGAAAGGCAATTAATAAACTGTAGCTGTAATTCAAATTCTTGTACCTGGAAAGGAACAAACATTAGTTAACCATTGAAAAAGAGTATTAAAAAAGGCAATGTTAGCTTTTTAATTGTTTTCAGCCGTTTTTAAGACAGGCGTTGGGGGTCTAAAGTAGTTCTTTTACATATTAAAATTGATTTTTAGCTCAATTACTGTCAGGCAGGTTTAAGGGATAAGCAAAGTACGCAGTCACGTAGAGTGCCAACCAAAAGGAAGCGCCTAAGCACTCTCCAATTTTCAGTGTTAAGGAAGGAGACTACAAAGAGGCATTGAATATATAAATATTATAAATAAATGTTAAATCTCCCTTAATCACGGGGACATCATCATTACCACTCACGATCACCACAAAATCGTAAATACCTCCTGTAATCACAAAACATTATCATTTTGACCTGCAACTGCAACATCTCCCGTGATTACGAAAAATTTTCAATGCCACCTTGGATCAATCCCCAAATAAACGTGGAAATGTCCCGCAATCACGGAGATATCATTATTGCCACCCATAATAGCTGTACCCTTGTTTGTCAAACTTCTTACTAGGCACAATTTATATTTAAAATTAATTTTCTTTTTAGTAGGTAAAACAAATAAATCTTCATCTTGCTTCAAAATATATATGTATTCAAAATTAAAACCTCTTCAAAACAGTTTCAACTAAACTTCTTAAATAATCATCAATTTTTATTTAAAATATGTGTTTTATTACTCATTATCCAAAAACCCTGAAAATAATACAATCTTTTAGTTATCTATAATATTAAAACGAAACAGTGTTTTTTTATTTCACGATTCTGAATCAACCACTCGACGGATTTTCATGATTTTTGTGTTGAAAGAAAGATAATTTTGAGAACTAGGGAATGTCGAAGCCATAAATTTAGTTTAGGGTCCCAGTTTTTTAGAAATTTAGTTTTAATTTTTCAAAAGTCTAGCAGCCGACGCTAAGATTCTAAACTACCTTTTGGCATAAAATAATTTGCTTAACATAACAGCTGTAAGCATTCAGCTTTTGTGTCACAAATTCAGCATTTGGATAGAAATGTAAAGACATACTTAGGGTTGACTTATTTATACTATGTGTAATGCAAATCATTGAAACGTTCAATTCTTTTGTAAGAGGATGACAGATTAATTAAATTATACATAGTAAAATACTAGAATGTTCAAAATATGTTTTTAAAGCAATCATTGTAATCTTCGATTTGTTTTAGAGCAATATAATTTGTTTTAACAAACAGCTGGTTAAATATAAACTATGGAACTAGGAGGTTATTTTATTTACTCTAATTTTGTCATTGATTATGGGAAATAAGTAAGATTAGTAGAGATAATTAGACCACAGTTTAAAATAGTTTAGACCAAAATTAATTAAACCACAGTACAAATCGAGGCTCTGTACACGAGTCGTAATAAAAAAAGGATAAATGCAAATTATTTTACTATTCCACTTTTCGAGGAAAGAATAGAAAAATAGCAATTTTTACATGTTTTAATTCTTCATGGTAGCTTTTTGTTTACAATTAATGTTTTGTCTGCTTTAACTTTGTTTGGATTAGGCCCGGAAATATTGATGTCATAAAAAGAAGATCAAGAATAATCAGGAATCACGATTTTAAATTACCACCACAACCTCAGCCGAGTTTTATACAAAGATTGAACACAACGTCAACATTGACCTAGGATACTGCAATTAGACAAACTATCCTTTTATGAAATAGTGTTCAGTTGTGGTTACGTTTGGGGGTGCCTATATCAGCGCCCCAAACGTGAAAATATCGCTTTTATTTCAACTATGAATATATTGTAGTTTAAATTAAGTAATATGGGAAATTACGATGTACATTTATTCAATGAGGGTGGGTAATTATCATGGATAGAACTGATAACGGTATGGATAATAAACATTGACAATTACGTCATTAGCTTTACTAGCTTTTTATATTCCTGCTACATGTGACCAGTTCTTTTTTTCAAATGAATGTTATTTGAACCAAACAGCTGTTTCAAAACAAACTGTTATTGTTTTTACTTTTCTTTGTTTACACTTATTTATTTAGCAATTAATGCAGTGAAATATATATAAAGGATAGGCGTGACGATTAGTTTTGATGTTAGAACACCAAAGTTAAATTATGTGTACTGTGAATTTTATTGGATATTATCGTTTTATTTTAGGTTGTTTCTATTCAGACCTACTGGAAATTGTGTATAGTAGTTGTATTGTGGTGATAATAATTATGGAAGAGGCAGGTATGCTATGGAAGGTGGTATCATTGACTAAGTCTATACACTTCTCAATTGACTATTACTCTCTCTACTGTAGTAGGCTACTTATAATCAGTGTGCTTCGTGCGAATCGGCTGCAAATCTCACTTCAACGCTTTTCACATCGTAAAAATTGCAGAATTGCTGTTTTATTGTAAAATTATCGGATTTAAAATGCATATCGTATAGGCCTATGATGGAATAAAAACATATTTGGTCACACAACATTTGTTTACAAGATGATTTTTCACATTAAAACTGCAAGAAACTTTGTCTTTATATGTGTAAACTAGCTGATCTGAATTGTACACGGTTTTAACTGACTACTGAATTCCCGTACGTAGGACGGGCTAACACCTCGTTAGTGTAGTAATAGTTTTTACATAAACTTGATTTTAAAAATGGAATTGAACAAATTTATAATTTTAATATATGAATTTAAATAAGAGAAAGCAAGGCATTTATTTAATTTGGAGATTTCTACAAAACTAAACTAAATTTAGAAAAAAGAAAAACTTACCCAAAATGGGGTTAAACACTGACTTTAAACAAGTTTACTTATGAACAACTGACTGTAAAAGAGACAGCAGCACGTGGCAGAGGGCCTTATATAACCTTGGTATAAACAAATCTGTACAAGAAATTAACTAAACATCTGATTGGTTGTTGAGCGTTGCTTTGTCTTTTACATGAATGACTGAGCTAAACTAACAGGAAAATTGGCATGTTATTGTACATATGGTACATAGCCATGAAACCGTAAACACCTTCCGTGATCACAAAACATTATCATTGCAACCTGTGATCACTGTGTAATCACGAAAATCTCCTACAATCACGGGACATCATCATCGTCATCCACGATAGCCACAAAAGTATGAACATCTGCCGTGATTACAAAACATTATCAATGCCACAAAATCGTGAACATCTCCTACAATCACGGCACATATTGATCAGTGCCCCGCGTAATCGTGGCTAATTATTAATTTATGAAAATAAAAGCTCAACTTTTTTCTATAAAACTATTTTAGTACAAAATGCCGCCGCCTTTCATAAGCCAAAGGGGGCCGCAGCAATTTTATCAAAGTCCAGCACCGGCTACCATATATATGTTTTTGTTGGGGAAGGGTGGGTACTGGAATGTCTAGAACCGGCCCTGATTACTTTATTTAAAGTTAAAGAAAAAATTATTCCTTTGTTCTGTGAAAAAACTTAAATAACAATAGGTTAATCAGACAAATTATTTGAAAACAATTCAAATACTTTAATAATGATAAACTTAAAACTAATAGTTATATAAACAACTTATCAACAAAAATGTTCTTATAATACTTACTATGGTAATAGAAACAAATACACACAAAATATACTTACAAGCTCTGTCAAAAACGGAGAAAAGGGGAAGGAGTCCAAAAACCTTAAATACACCCATCCATATACAAACTGATACTATTAATCAAAGCACAAAAACTGTAAACAGAGAAACAGTACACAAATTGAAGCCAACATAGCAAGCAAATCCTCAGTAAGGGGAAAGATGGAGATAATGATTCATGCAAAATAAAAACAAACTAAAAAAATTAACCCTTAAAGCTTAGAAATAAATAATTAAATGGTACTACAATACAATTTTAAAGCAGCCCTATTCTAAGAAATACTGGTGCATATGTGAACCATATGAAAAAATTCATGATTTTTTATACTTAGGCCTAGGCCTAATTTTTAAGTGACAATGAGGTCAAATGACAAACACTATGTTGTAGTTATTTGGAAAGAACTTAACACAAATATACTTTTTTTAGGTCTATTATGAAGTACAGTAAAATCCTGCTTTTTCAGTGTTTCTTTTATAAATCTTTAGAATCTGACACACTTAATTAACCAGTGGACTGTATCTCCAATGTTTTTTATTTGCACTTGATAAATTATCTGGGTGCAATTGGCATTTTGTAGACAATCCACAGAGGCTGGGTATACTGAAATATCACAACAGAATATGAAACTTGATAGACCTACTTGTCGTAGCTTTTGTTACTCTCTAGCATAAATATAGCTGAATTTCTGACATTCTTGTTTTAGTAATTCAGTATTGTAAAAGTTTCAAACAAAACCAGATTTTATAGCTATTGTCTACAGTATATTTGGACTGAAAGCTAGACAAAATGAAATGTATTGCCTCGTTCAGTGTGGTATTAATCTTCATGCAAAGTATATATTCTTTGTAGGTACTTTAATCAATATTTGTGGCCAAGTATAGATGACAGATTAACTTAACTAATAATTCCTTAAAATAACACATTTACTGTGGCATTTTATGATTTTCCATAGATAGGATTTTAGGAACCAACAATAGGAGATACACAAGTGGTGGAGTGAACATAACACAGAGAGTCAGAATATGATGTGCCATGCGATGTGACTAGCAGCGAGCATGCAGCGCGACAACGTACCTCTCTCACCTCGTGAATGTCTATGCCGTGGTTCAGCGACCACATCGTTTGGAAATAATCCTGCATCCTTTGTTTTAGCTCCTTTGGTATTTGATGAAGTGTGAGAAAGTCCTTCAAATCTCTCCACTTTGTCTGGTAGAGTGAGCGACGAGAGTACATCCGCTGGATGATGGCTGTGACGTTGCCAAACACTACAGCATGCATCAGCGCTGCAATATTTGGACACAATCAAACTGGGTTGATGCTTTTGTCTTCAAAGTCAAATAAATGTTAGTTTGCTTGTTGTGATTACATTTTCAGCCGAACTCAGTCGTAAATTTTTCTGACAAGCAGGCTGGTTATGGAGCTTACATTTAAATCTGAAGGTTGCTAATTAGATTCAATACCTAGTATACTGTGAGAGGTCCCTAGAGGCCAAAAAACACCATCCGTTCAAATTCATATATATATTTATATATAAAAAAATATTTATATAAATATATGTTTATAATATATATGTGTGTGTCTGTTAGTGCGATAACTTGAGCAAAAATGATCCGATTTTGATGAAATTTGGTACAAACCTGTAAACCTACATTTATTTAAAGGAGTTCGCGAACAAGCATGATCGGGCTATGGGAACAGGGGTTTATGAAGGGTTTTATGGGGGTTTTTCCCATTGTTGACCCTAAAAACACAAAATTTCACAATTTCTTTCCAGACCATTTTGTAGAGCTTAAAAAAAACAAATAGTTTAGTATTGTGCGCCTAATGGTTATGGAGAAAATTCCAAAAAATTGTAATTTAAAAAATTCCTATGTTGAGAATAAGTCAACTGTTATAGTTTGCTTGTTTATGAACATGTTTTGATCAAATTTGGAAAATACATTAATTTCTTACTAAACTATTAATATTTAACAACAAAAACACATTTTTACTTTCCCTGTTGCAGCAAACCTAATTACTCGTTAAATAATTCTATTTAAATAGGGAATAAATGTGATATTTTTAAGGAGGAATTTTTTATGTTAATCCAATCAGGCAAATGGAAATTCGCTTAGTCTGCAGGTTTGATGCAGCGAGGGTATTTTTGTATTATCTTAGGGGCCTACATAGTTTAATATTATCTAACAGTTTTCTACACCATTAAAATTTAGAATAAAAATTAAAATCAGTTCTTAAAATATACCTACCCAATCAAAAGAGTTTAAGTGTTCAAACCACATTCTAAATAAAAAATAAAATCAGTTCTTAAAATATACCTACCCAATCAAAAAAGTTTAAGTGTTCAAACCACATTCTAAGTTAACCATGACAGTTATGGATTTTTTGGAGTAATGTATAAAGTTTTTTATGAAATGAAATAATCAATCATAATACTTAAAAATGACTCAGTCATGTAAAGCAGAAAACCATAGTGTCATTGGCAATAACGATTTGTTAGGATACAAGCTAGCAGAAACCATGTAACACGGCCACTGACCTCCAATAAGCATGGTGATGATGCTGAAGATCTTCTCTAGGCTGGTGTTGGCTGCTACGTTGCCAAAGCCTACGCTTGTCAGGCTGGAGCAGGTGAAGTACAGAGCAGTGATGTATGACTCTGAGTGACTCACGTTAGCAATGTCTACTTTCAGCTTTTCTGCCAAAGTGTGAATCCAGCCTGCAAAAACAACAGATTCTATTCCACATTATATTGACTGAAAAGTGAAAACCCATCCCATGAAAAGATACGGCTAAATAAAGGAAAAAGAGCTATAGTTCGGCCGCGTAGAAAGCGACCTCCTCCAGCATTGGTTTAGCATTAGCGCGCAGGTCGTTTTCTAAGCGGCCGAACTATAGACAACATTGAAAGACTAATACATAATTTTATATTTTAGATGTATTTGTTATTTATGCAACTACAACAAAGGCTGAAGGAGATAGAGGTAAGTTCTGATTGGACAAAGAAAGCCTTCGTAACCTGAAGAAACCGGTTTATAACTTTTACAACTGAATTTCTAGTATTATTTTCAGGTTTTTGGTGGTAAAGAATTTTATATTGTTAATTGCTTATGCCTTTTTTAATAAAATAGTCTTTGAGGTTTTCTTTTCCAGATGTAAAAATGTAAGATGAGATATGCGATTTAAAAATGTGACAGTATTAACATTGAATCAGGCTACAACAAGAAAACTTCTCATTCTTCTTATTATCATTTCATTTCTGGTAGTCTATATTTTTGAGATTCGGTAGGTCTATTAAGCTAAATGTTTCTTTCTCATAAAAAAAATGTTTTAGAGTGTATCAACTCTTTGGTTTAAAACCTTTTGATCATCAATATCTTACAGTAAACATCACTAATGATCAACTACTACAATCAACTTCTACCCAAGCTGTCCAAATTTGATTTAACTTGAGTCTCCTCCTCCTTGAGTCGCTTTGCCACAAACAGGGTGATTCCTGAGATGCTCTCGGTCTAAGGTGATGCTTCCTAGCCGCGAGGACAATGCCTAGGACCAACAACACTGTACAACTGTTGGGTTGTACTTCCATGGATACACTATTTTTGTGGTTGTGGAAGTTAAATTATGTTACTTTTGAGATTTCATAGCTCTAACATTTCAAGCATGTCTCTAAGCTTGTGTCTCTAAGCTAGGTTGTGTCTCTAAGCTTGTCTACTAGAAGAACTCATTTTTTGCAACAAGAAAAGATTTGGTTAAAACTATTTCCTCATATTTTCCTCCAGTTGTTAGAAATAATGGACGAGTTGTTTAAGACGGTGACACAATATCGATCTTTTCCCCGATCAAGACCCCAAACCGAGCAGGGAGAAGGGAGGTCAAAGGGAGCATGTTCGATAGTGTGTCAGGAGTCCGTACACCGACCGAGACGGCAAACCAGACATCAGGCTGAGCAGGGAGATGAGCGCTGAGGCGGTTTTTTGGCGAAAGATCAAAGAAAAGATCGATCGGATGTATGGAGTGATGTACGATTGTGTGTCATGGTATATTTTTGCCCCGGATGCCGTCGCGAGTGCCGCACTGAGCGGCCGCCTGCGCTGGCGTTGATAGTTCTAATTTAATATGACAATTAAACTCTTTAATTGGTAAAATAAATAAATGTTGGGTAATATTTTTCCGTTTTATATTATGGGCATTTATGTTAATTTTGTGGTTTGTTTGAAAATGTATTTTACAAGTTGAAACCGTTAAATCAATGATATTGTGATAAGTGTAATAATAAGTATAATGATACGTACCGGTAATTGATGTTATACTTAAATTCTTTGAAACTCATATTCAAACATTTATATTATTAACATGTTCAATACGGCACCAAAATCGGCTATATCACTCGTATAGCTAAAATATGAAAACTCAAATTAACTTGCCAAATATGGTTTTGGATGATGGGTGTTATTTCGCCAAAATTTTCAACTTTTGACGAGATATATTGGTTATTATATGTGAGGGGAATACATGTCATGTGCCGCACCCGTCCAGCTGCCATGTAGAACCAACGCACGTGACACAATAAGAAATCCTTGGTTTGTTTGGTTGTTCATTTTCAATGAGAAAGTCATCAATCCATAATCATTCACTATTGCACAACACTTACATCATATAACACTAAAACACAAAAACATACACACAATTAACAAGAGCCGTGCGCGACGGGAATGACGCCGCCCAAAGAAACACAAACGACTACTTCATACTGCGCAACGAAAAACATCATCCTCCATCGACGGCTCAGCTTATTTCTAGTCAATAATTTTGTAGTGGTTCTTTACTCTTCACCCGCATTGAACGTGTTAAAGGTAAAATTATCATTCTGCAACATGCTATTTCATGTTTTATTTCTGTTATATTAATACTGAACTCGTCTGGTCTTGGTCTTGTTCGAGGAAATGTTCATATTTAAATTTTGCTGATATTTACCTCCCTTCTCCCTGGTGGGTTCGGGGTATTGATCGGGGTAAAGATCGATTGTGTGTCACCGCCTTTACTGCTTGCTTATCATAATAGGGAAAAACTTACTAAGGTCCCAGTCTTTTTCATTTTTCAACCGCTCTTTCTCTGCAATGACAAACCAGATACAAGCCAGCCAATGAGCGACGAGTGTGAAGGAGAACATAAGTAGTGTCAAGATGGCCGCTGAGTATTGCGAATAGCGATCCATCTTCTGCAGCAGCCTTGCTAGCCTCAGTAGCCTGGTCAGCTTCAGAAGATGAATGTGACCTGTGCCTGACTCCTGTAATAAAAGAAGGTACACACATATGACTAATGGCATTAATAATTGAACTTCATTGTGGCCAAATAATTAAATACTGGAACCAATGTAATGTGAACCACGCAAGAGAAAGTGTAATCTAGATCTAGATTTGTTTTACCACCTCTTGAATTTCAAAAAGCAGGAATTAACAACACTTATACAAAACATTTTCTTATCAACAGAGGCGGATTTGAGGATTTGCCGCCCTTGGGCTATCCACAATTGCCCCCCCCCTATTGTGTGACAAGACAATTCCAAAACGCAAAAACTTGGGAAATTGCCTCGTTATTTAACCATTTAAAAAACACAATTACCTATAACCTACACTTTACCTTCCTAATCTAACCTAACATCAAAACTCTTAATGCAGCCTCAAAACCGCATAAACCCCGACCTGCCTTCCTCACATAACTCAATAAGGTCATTGTTTCAACCAAAAGATCCAGGATCCAGATCCGTATCACGTCTTGTTTCTTGGTTTGCTAAGTGCTCTGCGTCTTAACCCTTATCGCGCTACAGAAATGTTGGATGGCCTTGACCAAGGCTACATATACCTAAAAAATATTTTTTCCCAAAAGTCAAAGCTAATTTTTTTTGTTTCTTATAATAAAAAAGGACTTATGGGAGGAAAAAATTCATTTTCTTTTAAAATTAGTTTAATTATACGTAATTAGTATACAGATACAAAACTTCACAAAAATGTAAAGCTAATAAAAGGTTGACAGTTTTGTTTACTTGTTAAATTTACTGTAGGCTACATGTACATTAGAGAAAAAAGAGGCTTTGAGTACGTAGTGGCTGAGCGGTAGGGGTAGGGTGTGGGGGAGTGGCGCGGGGTCGGTGACAGGAGGCGACAGCGGTCTGGTTGTGGTGGTATGGCGACAGGGTCAGAGTGTAACACGTTGAGAGGATCTGAGCCCCATTTCATAATAAACTACAAGTTACAAGATACAACTTGTAACTTGTAGTTTCAAGTTTCAACTTGTATCTTGTAGTTACAAGATACAAGTTGTAACTTGTAGTTACCATTAGATTTGCATTGGGCGATCAGCTGATTTACTAATAATATTAGTTTGTAGTTTATTATGAAATGGGCCCCAGGTCGTGTTTGAAATGGAGATGGTTGTGTCAGTAAAGCTGATGTACTTGGCTGGGGATCTTCATGGGCTGGGAGTGGTAAAACGTCCATTGAATCAAGGCACATATCAGTCTCATTTTCACTTTCACTCGCATCTTCAATATTGTCGTCCTGGTCCATGTCACTGTCAAAAAGGTCATCATTGTAATTACTACTTAACAAAGTATTCAGAGCGTTGACTACAAAGTCTTCAAAATCTGGGTCATCGGGATGTTCCAATTTACACAAAGAATTACTCCAATCACACAAAGATACAACTTACACACTACAATCCACTTTTACTAATTATATAAAACGCACAACTCACAGAAAATATAGTATAATTACTGTATAAAATGTATATATTGTATAAAATATATAATTATAATAATATAACGACAATTAATCCAATGTTATAACGATCGCACGCGGAGAATGGTGTTTCAGGCCAAGTCTGCGAGCGAACTAAACCCTTGTGAGTTAGTTCGTCCACAGCGCTAGCGTCTCTCATAGCAGAGGCCAGCAGGTGTAGCGCACCGGCATTTTTTCATTCCCGAGAACAATCGGAGGGCGGGGACCATTGATATTGTTATTTTCCTTCACGAGAGATGTTACCCAATAGTTGCTACACTCTATCGGCGAAACTGGGAACTACCAAGACCAACCAATACGCTCTGAATAAGCAGGCGAGTATATTCCTCCACCGCGTTTTGAGCAAAGCGAACTTCGGCGAGTATATTCGTCTACAGCGTGGTAAGGGTTAAGACAGTAGTTCCGTATATTTTCTAAATTTGCAGGGGTTTTTGCGCCTTACACAAAAACTGTTGTAAGGTAGCTTATTGTTTTTTTAGGATTACAGGAATTGGTTTAGGAAGGTTTCAAAGAAAATCCAGAAAAGATCAAAAATACCAAACAAAATTTGATTTGAGGTAATTTATTATTGTTATGAAAATAAAAATTTTATTGAAATAAAATAATAAGTTTGATAGCCTACTCATCTGACAAAACTGGGAGCAAATAAATTCAAAACGTACACAATTTAAATACAGTATACAATTGAACGATAACTAAATAAGGGCCAAACTTCACCTCAAACATCGAAACGCCTAAGATCACTGCGACTGCACTGATCCCATTTTCAACATGTCAACAAAACACTGGATACCGCAACTATTACTCACATCAGTACTTAGTCACTTCCCCCAGCTGTTTCGAACGAGTCAATGATGAGTTAATGGCTTGGTTCAGGGTGTTGTTAGTGAAGGTTGAATGTGGAAATATTGGATCATTCTAACCAACCCTCTAGTTTTCTAGTTATGAAGTTTATTTTTTAATTCAATTCAATATATTTTGAAATTTAAAATTAAAAAAAAACATATACTTATAAAATTTGCCGCCCTTAAAAATCTGCGACCCTGGGCTTCAGCCCCTTCAGCCCCGCCCTCTCCCCCTAAATCCGCCACTGCTTATCAATAGCCAACATAGATATGATACTTCAGTATCCAAATAGTCAACGGTTTTACTAAGAAACAAATAAAAATAAAAATAATATATATACTGGCCTCTCCGCTGTACACATCAGAAGCGTAGAGGAGATCAAAAGGTAACGCAGCTAGTAGATCTACTACAAACCATCCTTTCAGGTAGTGGAGAGCGATTGCACCAGCGATAGATACAACCTCACCCTTGCGGTTCACAAACGTAGTTCGGAAGTTTAATAAAATATCTGGAACAGAGTTATTATTATTATGTATGTCCTGTATTCACATCCAATGAATTGCTAAACAGGGTGTTTTTTTAAGTGTGCCACCATTGGGATCTCAGAAACTAATGATTTTACAGCAAACTTTAAATGGGGAACATTCTCTTGTTTTTAATGAGGTTCAAAAATAATTAAATAAAACTTTTGTAAATGGCCGCCATTTTCCAATATGGCGGTCAACTTTGAAATTTCTTATGGAACACCCTATATTTTATCATGTTTTCGGATAGAACATGCAATTTAAAAACCTTTTTATTCTTGACATTTTTTCGATAAACCCACTCGTTTATAGGAGTTACAGCCTATGGAAAAATGACTTCCGGTGTACATTTTACATCATGTAGCTCCTAAACAAGTAGGTTTATAGCGAAAATGCGAAGAGTAAATAAGTCAAATAAGTCTTAAAATTGCATCCACATTCCAAAAAGATCATACAATTCGTTAAAAATATTAATTCTATTATTTCAAAAATGGCAGCCGTTTTCCAAAATGGTGGCAAACTTGAAAAGTGGAAAACTGTGTATTTTATGGTATGTACACCGGAAGTCATTTTTCCATAGGCTGTAACTCCTAAACGAGTGGGTTTATCGAAAAAATGTCAAGAATAAAAAGGTTTTTAAATTGCATGTTCTATCCGAAAACGTGATAAAAGGTGTTCCATAAGAAATATCAAAGTTGACCACCATATTGGAAAATAGCGGCCTTTTACAACAATTTCATTTAATTATTTTTGAACCTCTTTAAAAACAAGGAAATGTTCCCCTTTTAAAGTTTGCTGTAAAATCATTGGTTACTGAGATCCCAATGGTGGCACACTTAAAAAAATCACCCTGTATATGCTCTAGCCTGATACTGTTTAACACATTAGTACTTCATAACAGGTGTAGAGTATCCTAGAGCATTAATAGCCATAAGCTATTGGTGCTTGTCATGATTTAGACCCATAGCATCTCAGGTACTGAAGCCTCACACTCTAACTAGCAATGTACCACATATACCTATACTAAAGACTTATTAGTTAATGTATTAGCCATAGCCTAGTTTGACTATGATATTAAACGTTTGGTAACAATCAATAAGTGCATCCAATATAAAGCACAAAACATCAAGATTGGTTGTGAAAGAACTTATAGTTGGAATAAGGTGTTTTCATCAAGTAGTTTTGACAAAAAGTTTAGTGAGTTTTTCCAAATTCTGAGGTTCTATTTCAAATATTGTTTTCCTCTCACAAAGACAAAAATAAATCTTCAGTCAGCTTCAAAAGTGAATCTCTCTTCCGATATTCTTGCTTTAAAAAGTCGTCTTCATAATCTTTACACACTCCGTAAAGACTTAAACAGTGTCCATCCTCTTTGTCAGGAGTACTGACCTGCATAAAACAACATTATAGAAGAGAAATTTCAAAAGCCAAATCTGAAGCAGCACTCAATAAGATCAATAAATCTTCCAACAAACCAAAAACTCTCTGGAACATTGTTAATGACCATAAGCCGAAGAATCAGGACAAAACTCTGAGAATTTCTGTTTTGGATGAGAATGGCACTGTCGTTGATGAGCCATCTGAGGTTGCAAGTATTTTAAACAATTTTTACTCAACAGTTGTTTAAAGGCTATCTTCTCAAAATACCACCAGAACATATTTAGAGAATTCCAATGCTCAATCTCTGCCATCTTACAAAAACTCCATCTACTTATTCCGCACAAGTGAGACGGAAGTAATACATGAAATTATGGGATTGTAATCTAAGTCATCATTAGGGTATGATGGATTTTCCTCAAAACCCTTAAAGGAAATCAGTGATCTTATATGCTCTCCTCTCACTCATCTCATCAATTCCTCGTTCGAAGATGGGGTGTTTCCGACTGAACTAAAAAATGCAATTGTTCACCCTCTTCACTAAAAGGGTAAAAAGGTTGATATAAACAATTATCGTCCTATTTCCCTTGTTTCAACTTTTTCGAAGATATTTGAAAACATTTTTCTTTCTTGACTGATATCTTTTATTGATAAACACAATTGGCCTATTCTTTCCCCGAATCAATTTGGCTTCACAGCCAAAAAATAGAAATACAGTCGATGCCATTCACTTTCTAGTCTCATCTTTGTCTCAATCCCTTGATTCAGGAAAGGCTGCAGCTGGGATCTTCTTCAATCTTAGCAAAGCCTTTGATACGGTAAATCACGGCTTCTTATTAGACAAACTTTGCTCACTCGGCCAGGGGCGTCATTTGGGGGGGGGGGGGGCCTGGTTCATGGGCTAGAGAAAAATATGCTGTACTACCTAATATACAAATATTTTCTCCTATCAAATCCTAAAAAGCACGCGGACAAAAATCCGCCTATTTTTGTACAGTAATTTGAAACAAAAATATTTTTTTGTGTCGTAGATTGCACATTTTGAGTTTACATAGGTAAATTAGTACCGTAGTTTTGTTATTTATTTACTTTTTCTGTTTGGTTCTGTACGATCAACCACTTACTTCTAGTTTATGTGCAGATTACATGCAGATTATTTTAGAATCATCGCTTTTTAATTTATTTTTATGAATTATTCTAGCATTAAAATTATACATGTGTATCAGTTTTACGTAATTCATTTTGAACATTGTAGACTACCAGTTTAATATATGTAGGCCTAAATAGAACCTTTTGTACTTTTGTGTCAAATTATTTTATTGGTGATAAAATTTGATTTGCTATTAAGTTCTTAAATACTTGTATTTTATTTAAGCCTTTTTGTGCCACGCAACGATAGGCCTATATCGTTTTGCACAACACATTTGAATAATACGATCGAGGCATGATATATCGTTCCATGGCACTTTTGGGATGAAAATTTATACTTTTACAGACTTATATTCTTGCGCACTACGCTTAGCCCCCATGGTAAGCCTGGCACTTTTCAGACGTGCCTAGTAAAAAAACTCTGGCACTTTTCGGAAAGTAGGCTACCAAAATACATTTCTGGCACCCAAAGGGTTAAAAACCAAAATAAACTGTTATAAACTGTACAAGAGAAATTGGTCATGAATCTATTAACAAACATAGGTAATATTAAAACATCATGGAACTATTGGTCACGTTTCTTAGATGACTAACTTACCAACATATTAGGCTGGTACTATACGGACGCTAAATGCGTCGCGTTAATGCGTCGCGTTAACGCCAAAGTTCGGCGCATAAGTAGGCCAGACTATACGGACGCAAAATGCGTCGCACTGTTTTTGCGTCAACGCCCCGCTGGCCAGACTATACGAGCGCAGAAACCGCCACGTTGATTCCCAGATCACTTTATTCCAAGTTGCCAATATGGATGCAGTGCAGATCGGTGCTGTAGGGTTTCAGTGTCTACTAGAGATGTATTTGGAAAAGACCAAAAGGCAGGATAAGTTGTAATTTCATTTTTGTCTTAATATACTTTCCATATTTATGTACGCTACTATTATTAATTATTGTCTTCGTAACTATTGTAAAACAACAAAGATAGTTAGTTGAACTTGGTGCTTAGAAAAAATATGTTTACATCATTACACCTTTGTTTATAAATATATCAAACTTAGTTACCTGCTTCGTCCTTCATTTGGGGAGTCATTTCCTCCCAGTTGTCGTGCACAGCTGCTCATACCTCCATCCAGCACTGAGCTTTAACATTTCTGTTTGAATATTCTTTTGACTGAACGTCATAAAGTGGAGGCCGCTTCTCTACTTCTAAGATGAACTTCTCAGTATCAAACATGTTGATGACTCTCACACAGAAGCACAATAACTACTCACTCAAGACTGCGACTGCGGGCCACGCATCTAGCGTCCGTATAGTCCGGCCCTAGCGTTGCGCAGCGCTATCTACGTCGCGCTGCTAACGTTTTTCCAGGGCTGGTCGCGTAAAATGCGTCGACGCCGAGTTTGGAGGGCAGCGTGCCGCGTAGACTGCGCTCGTATAGTCGCTCAAATTGACTTGCATTGCCATCCAAAATTAAAAATAGCGCAGCGTATTTAACGCGACGCATTTAGCGTCCGTATAGTACCAGCCTTATTATGTTTCTGTCTGTTGTCAATAATTGTTAGTTTCATTAATTTTCTGCCTAAATTTAAATAAATTTTGCTCATAATTTTTTTTAAGTGCTTTTGACAATTAAAATAAGCTTAAACCCCTCTTCTTTGTTTCAAAACTGCAAAATTTTCCATTCCATACCCCCCGGTGTTTGCCCCCCCCCCCTAAGGATTTGGTGAAATGACGTCACTGCACTCAGCATAAGAGGTGTGACTCACTCCTGGATAGAATCTTATCTGACCGGCAGAACTCAGGCAGTTCAAATTCCTTTCATTAATGACAACAACTGTTTACAGTCTGCATTTTCACTTCCCCTGGCAATCACTGCAGGGGTTCCCCAGGGCTCCGTGCTTGGTCCAGTCTTATTCATCCTTTTTATTAATGACCTGCCAAGTTGTGTGCCTGAGTCTGAGGGTAAGGTATGTTTGTTTTTCTGATGACACCTCATTGTCGTTGTCTGCAGCATGCGTGCACGACCTGAGGATGAAAGCAATTGGTCAGATCAGCTCAATATTACAATGGTTTAGCTGCAATAACTTGTTTGTAAACAGTGCCAAAACTAAAATGATCGAATTTCATACCAGGAAACAAAGAAAACACAGCACCCTTTTCTTTTTTTTTACAGAGGGCCAGGCTTACAAGTCACCATGGGATTGCATCGCAGCTAGAACAGCTTATTGTGCACCCTCGTTCACAGGTCCTCATTCTCCGTCAAATCCCAGGTCCTTAGTGAACCGTGAGGGCCCTTTGACTATGGTAACCTGTTCTTCCCTTTGATCTCCCATTAATAGGCCAAGGGATCTCATACGCAGACCTTGTAGGGCTGGGCACATAAATATACCTTCACAGCTTTCACAAGGTCTCTGGCTGGGGCAAGCCGTAGCGAGATTTCCCTGAAAGGACTCAGCTCCT